CGGCGGGGGGAGGGACTGCAGGAGATTGGAAGGAACAATCAGGGCACCGATTGGGCCGGTTGGCTGCCGCAGTGCGTGTCATAGTGACTGGTCATTCTGTCATTCTGGTTGCTTAGCACATATATATATATACACACATACATACATACACACACACACACACACACACACACACACATACATACTAGAGGCCCTGGTGGGGGGAGGGTCCCTCAGCTCGGCCTGGGTCCTCTCGAACTCTGGTACCCCTTGGGGATGTCTGACCTCTGGTGTGGAGCAGGCCTAAGCCGGCAGTCGGACATCCCCTGATAGCGCGGCCGGGGAGGCGGGAGAGGCTCCCACCACTGCTGCTGCGCTCACCAGCCATGAGCCCTGCTTCTGGCTGCGTGGCGCTCCCCCTGTGGGAGCGCACTGACCACCAGGGGGCAGCTCCTGCATTGAGTGTCTGCCCCCTGGTGGTCAGTGCATGTCATAGAGACCAGTTGTTCTGCCGTTCGGTCAATTGGCATATTAGGATTTTATTATATAGGAAGATAGATAGATTCACACAAACATTTCATGCTTGTAGAATAAATGATTCAGACTTTTTTGAAATCTTAATTAGTCCATCTTGTTTATTTGATACCACAGCCCTTCACCTAAAGCACACTAAAGGGAATTTTATAGTTCCTGTTGTTACTACTACTAAGATATTACTACCCTTCAAAATACTCTTTTGGGGGAAGTGAGGGAGAGGGAGACTCACAAAGCCAGAGCAAAATCTTGTTCCCTGTGGAATAAACATAAAAAGTAAAAACGTAAAGGGGGAGGGGGGTAGGAGATATCTGTAATACAATCAACAATTTAGAAAAAGTAAAACCAAAATGACAATATTATTAGAAAACACAGGGGGATATATGTATGCCCTAAGCACTACCCTGACCCTTGCTACTCAAAGCTTGGTTCCAAAACAGGCGCCCGGTATCACCTGGGAGCTTATTAGAAACTCGGGTTCTCAGACCCGCCCCCAGACCTGCCGAACCTTAGCCTGCATTTTAACGCGGTCCCCAGGGGTCGCCAGCGCGCCAGCTGGAGGAGCCCTGACCTAAAACGCAGCCATGGATGAAAATTTAAGTGCAACAACGGCAACCAATACACGCCTTTCTTCAAAAGAACCAGTAAACAAAGTTAAAAGGTAAGAAACAGACTCGGAGAAAAATATCTGCAATGTATTACGCCGACAAATTACCGAAATCCAGGATATAAAAGAATTCCTAGGAAAAAGGACCATAAATGCCACAGAAAAACAGGCAAAACTATAAACGGCAATTCACGAACAGAAGCCAGAAAGCACACGCACTCCTGTGTCTGCAAACCGCCCCGCGGGGTGTCCGAGCAGGGGCGGCTCGGGCGAGGGGGGCACCTTCTGCTCCCCCCCTCCCC